CAAAAAAAAAAAAAAAAAAAGTTATTATATGGGAGACAATTTTTGAAATAGTAACTGAAAAAAAAAGCTACATACAACTGGTGAAATAAGAACCCTCCCAATGCTTCAAAAGTGAGATCACAGGTGGGCTTTTTCTTCTTTTGGTTTTTCCAGAACCTTCTTTAGGTGTTTTGATTTTAAACAGCAATAACAGTAGCAATAGCTTTCATTTACTGGGGCCCTCCTATGAGTCAGGTACCATGCGATGCAACTTATCCGTGTTGTCTCATTTAATCCTTTGGACCTCCCTGGGAGGGAGGGAGGTGTTGGCACCATTTTATCTCTGAAGAATTTAAGGCCCAGAGATGTGAAGACACTTGGATAAGGTCACACAGCTCCCGAGTGGCAGAGCTGGGATCAGCATCCACATCTGTCTGGTTTCAAAGGCTGTGCCTTTCTCGTGTTACTGCAATTGCTTTTCTGTGCCCACTTTCCCTACGCACGTCAACCCTCTGAAACAGATGCTGCTACCCCATTTCACAGATGAGGAAGCGGGTGTTTAGAGAGAGGGGAAGCGGCTTGTCCACTGGTACAGCTGGTCAGTGGCAGAGCCAGGCTTTGCCCCCGAGCTGATTTCAACACCCAAGCTCCCTCTGCCAGATCCCTGAGTATACACACCCTCAGCGTTACAAAATGTCGACTTACCCTTTTCAGAATAGCCATAAGAAGTGGGAAGAACCCTCTTCATTCTCTTCACCGTGAATCAGTTTCAGCAAATTTCCATCCCTCCTGAGGCCCCAGGAAGGGGCTCTCCAGAAACCCACACCCCTAAGAAGAGACCCTAGTCATGCAGGTACCATTAAAGAATTTGATGATGTCTGTGAAATCCATGTTGTTCTCCAAAATGATGTCACGGTAGACTTCCACCAGAGCCAGCGCGATGAACAGGACATAGTGGGCGGATGAGACATGTTTGGCGGCCCAGATGGTCTCCCAGACCGAGAAGACGTCATCATAAATGAGTTCTACCGAAACAGCAACACAAACACGCACGGGGAGAGAGTCAGCAACAGGGCACATGGTGCCGCCCTCCCTTGTGAAAATCCCTCTGGGAAAATCCTGGGCCGGCTGTGCTTTGTGTTTCTGCACTGGTGCAGCGGACAGAGCTCAGGCCAGGGGGCAGGGGATCTGGACTCTGTCATTTGCCCATTAGAAACCTCAGTTTTCCCCATCTATAGAATGGGCTATGCAAACCAGGTGGGTTCTAAGTTCCTTCCAGCTCTGACATTCTGTGAGAGGAGGAACTGAGCATGTGCCGGTTTGGTTTATGTAGACCTGTCCCTGCCCTGCCCTTGGACCGGTGTCCACCTGTATCCCTTCACCTTCATCTCCATTAGCGCCCATGGAGGTATCTCCCCCCCGACCCCCCATACCCAGGCAGAGCTGGGGCTGCCTCTGACTCTAGTAAAGAGACAGAACAGAGCAGTGGTTAAAAGCAAGGCTTCCTATATCCAATAAACCTGGTGCAAATCCTTCCTTCATCACTCGCTAGCAAGGGGACCTTGGGCTAGTTACTTCATGAACCTCTTTCTTTCCTCGTCTATAAGGTGGGTGAAGCTGATAGCGTAATAGGACTGAAGAGATAAGACATATCAATGGATCAACATGGTGTATGGTGCTTAATAAGCACCCCCATATATATTAGATATTATTATTATTAGCATCCCCCAAATTTGCTCAATGGCAACAATGTACATCACTTCTAAGTCACGTGCGAAATGTGTACGAAATAACCCCTGCTCTGTGGGCTTTAGAGTTCTTGGTCTCTGACGAGCAGTGTAACAGAATGGAAGGGAACTGGGCTTCAGGGGTGGGTAGAGGTGGGTTCAGATCCTGGCTCTCCTCATCCTAGCTCTGAATTTAATTCTTCCCAGGTGTGGTTTCCTCCCCGGTAAAGCTGGGATCTTAACAGCACCTACTGCAGAGAGTTGTTGCAAGACGAGGCAGGCGAACGGATAGAGCTCTGCTGCCTTTGCCCCAGCACCCCTCGGCCTCCCCTCCACGACACCTTTTCCCTCCGGGTTCTGCTACGAACGGTCTGGAAAGAAGCCCCCACTTTAAAGTCCGTACCTCGCTTGAAGTCCAGCAGGAACCAGCGGTAGCAGAAGTAGAAGTGCGTGTAGTCCCCGTTCTGATGCATCAGCTCGAACAGCTCCGAGTCCAGGATCTGCGGGAGGAAGGAAAGGGCGAGGCAGAGGGGACAGTGGAATCGATAGCGGTGCGTCCACTCGCCACACACCACACAGCCCTTAACAGCCCAGGGGAGTTAGAAAACGGGCAAAGGATCTGAACAGACATTTCTCCAGACGAGATTTACAAATGGCCAACAAGCACATGGAAGATGCTTAACATCATTAGTCATTAGGGAAATGCAAATCAAAACCACAAGCCCGGGCGCGGTGGCTCACACCTGTCATCCTAGCACTCTGGGAGGCCGAGGAGGGAGGATCACTTGAGCTTAGGAGTTCGAACCAGCTTGAGCAAGAGCAAGACCCCATCTCTACTAAAAACACAAAAAGTTAGCCGGGCATGGTGGCACGTGCCTGTAGTCCCAGCTACTTGGGAGGCTGAGGCAGGAGGATCGTTTGAGCCCAGGAGTTGGAGGTTGCTGTGACCTAGGCTGATGCCACGGCACTCTAGTCCGGGCAACAGAGAGAGACTCTGTCTCAAAAAAAAAAAAAAACCACAATGAGAAACCAATTCATACTGACTAGCATGGTTAAAATCAAAATAATAGACAATAGCAAGTGTTAGCAAGGGTGCAGAGAAACTGGAACCCTCATACATTGCTCCTGGGATGTGAAATGGTCCACCTGCTGTGGAAGGAATCTTGGCAGTTCCTCAAAAAGTTAAACACAGAATTTCCATATGACTCAGTGATTCCTCTCCTAGGTATAGCCCCAAGGGAAATAAAACCATATATTCACATAACAATCCGTACATGAATGAATGTGTGTAGCAGCACTATTCGTATTAGCCAACTTGAATGTCCATCAACAGACGAATGGATAAACAAAAAATGGTATATCCACATAATTTAATTCAATATTATTTGGCAATAAAAAGGAACAAAATTCTAATACATGCTACAATGTGGGTGAACCTTGAAAACATGATGCTCAGTGAAAGAAGCCAGTCACAAAGGCCACATGCTGTATGATTCCATTTATATGAAATGTTTAGAAAAGGTAAATCTATGAGAAAGTAGATAGTGGTTTCCAGGGGCTGGGGACAGGGAGGAAGTGGGGAGTGACTGTTAATGGGTAGGGAGTTTCTTTTGGGGATAATGAAAATGTTCTGAAATTGGGGGTGGTTGCATAACTCTGTGAATATACTAAAAACCACCGAATGGTACACTTTCCAAGGATGAATTTTATGATATGTGAATTATATTTCAAGAGAACCATTATTTAAAAAATGGTGGTGGAAGAATACCTCCAGCTATCAGATATGCTGTTAAGTGAAAAGAAAAAAAAAAGCAGGTTCAAAATAGTACGTACAAAATAATGGAAAAGTATGTAGAAGGTGATTCTAATTATGGAGAAAATGATACATATAAAACGGGCAAAACATATGAACAGGTAATTCATAGGAAAAGCAATCCAAATAAACAGAAAAAAAAAAAGAAGTGATATTCAGTCCCACCGCTAATCAAGAAAGTGCAAACGAAATCCCAACGGGATGCTCTACTCACACACAAGAGATGGCAAACATTAAGACGTGTGACGACATCCAGTGAGGCTGGAATGTGTAAAGACCCCTACAACACTGCTCTAGAGCATAGAAACTGGTACAATCACTTTGACTGAATCATGTCTGCTGAAGATGCGCACGCTCTCTCTGATCTAGCAATTGCACTCTAGGCACGTGCCCAAGCAACGCTCTCGCGTACACGCGCAAAGAGATGCACGCAAGCATTTCAGTGCCGCATTGTTTATAAAGGCCAAAAACAAAACCCAAAATTCCCCCAGAGCAAAAGCAAAAAGCAAACCAAAATGGAAACAACCTAAATGTTCACCAACAGGACAACGGATCCAAATAAAATGGGACATAATCTATTATACTCCTCAAATGGAAGACGGTACTTCTGGGAAAAGGGAAGGAGATGAGCATCACAAACTTGTTACTGAGTATAAAAACAAGATGCAGAAGAACTTATGCCATTTACAACCACTTACAGAAAGTGGGGAAACTCGAAAACCAACATTATGTTATTTAGGAATATATGCATATGTTATAAAACAATTTTTAAAAATTCATTTTAATCATAAACATCACATTTTAGAAAGTGCTTATCACTGGGAGGACAGCAGTAGGGAAATTCAATCAAGAAGGGTACATGAAGGCTGGAAAATCTATAGTTAATGTTTTATTTCCTGGGCAAGTGCAGGCAGAAACGTGGATATTCATTGTATTATTCTATTTTCTCATGTCCACAATATTCTGTAATATTTTTTAACTCCACCAAAGAAACTTTCAGAGCTAACGTGATCATGGTTGTAGCTCCGTTGCTGGTGCATAGATAATTATGTATCCCTATCGTTTACTTGGGTTAATACATTTCCATTCCTTCCACTCAAAGGGGCGAATATCTTAATTCCTCTGGGGACCAGATATACTAATCACTATGGATGCTAAAGAGCTACTATTTATTACACCACTTCTCAAACTTGAGCTTGCATCAGAATCCCCGGGAGAGCTTCATACAGCACAGATTCCTTGGCCCAACTCTCAGAGATTCTGATTCAGTGGGGGAAAGTGCCCAGTAATTTGCATTTCTGAAAGTTCCAAGGTGAGGCTGACGTTACTGGCCCATGGACTATGAGAGGCATTGGCAGGCATTCTGCTAAGCACTATAAGTGCATTAGTTGGTTTCATTTCCATTATAACTGTAATGATTTATTGGGAATCCCATACATGGGAAAAGAACCTATTTTCCAGATGAGGAAACTGAGGCCCAGGGAGATCAAAAAGCGTATGCCTGAAGCTGGACAGTTAGCGAGTAGCAGAAATAGGATTCGAACCCAGGTTGGCTCCAAACTGCTCACTCTTAAGCCACTAAGATATAATTAACGGTTTCCCAAAAAAGTCCGAAGCAGGACTAGACGGAGGGCCATACCTGGATCAGCGACCTCATGTTCGCAAAGTGCGTGTCCATGGCACCTCCGTGGGGGAAGTTCTGGTTCATCCTCTTCATGAGCTCGGTGAAGCAGCTGAAAGCAAGCGCCTCTGAGGAAGCAGCACAGGAAAGTCAGCTGTGGCACCACCCAAGGGACCGGAGCTCCCAGAGGGGCGGGCTCAGGCCCCGAGCTGGTTCGCAAAGTCCACAGCCAAATAAGAAACATATGGACTCACAGAACCAAGTGTATTTCATTTCAAGGGAAGCTTTCCAATCTTTAATTACATACTTCTCACCTTAGAGGTATTGAAATATCTTGTTTTAGGAAATGATAGTTACTTACAGCAGATGCTCTTTTCACAACAGCCTTATTTCGTACGATAAAAAGTTGATAATGTTTTCTTGGTCTCAAACTTTTTTTTTTCCTTTTTTGAAATTCTACTGGTTCATGAAATTCTCAAGTCTGGGAACCACTGCATTTGAACAGCAATTGTCAATACTGGAAGGGCTTTTACAGGTGATATGCAAAGAAAGGGTCAAACAACTTTGTGGAATGCTTAGAATATCCGCTGCTTAGGGAATCACTACATATAGTTAAGAAAGTAAAGGCGCTGACAAGTCCTCCAATAAAGAAATTTGGTTTATACTGTTTGACTTCGTGTTTCAAAAACTCATTTGAGAATGGTACTTTCTTTTCTCTCAGCAATTGGTGACTTTGAGGAAAGCTACACTAGACTGGAAGGTTTCCCAAGGACAGTAGGATCTCATTTATTTTTTAAAAGACTTAATTTTTCAGAACAGTTTAGATTTATAAATAATTGAGAAGATAGTGGAGAGTTCTCATATACCCCACGTCCAGTTTCCCGTTATTAACATCTTAACATTAGCATGGTAAATTTGTTACACTTAATAAACCAATATTGACCATTATTAACCAAAGTCCACACTTTATTCAGATTTCCTTAGTTTGTATTGAATGTCCTTTTTCTGTTCCAAGATCCCATCCAGGATAGCACATCACATATGGTTGTTACGTCTCCTCAGGCTCCTCTTGGCTGTGGCAGTTTTTCAGGCTTTTCTCATTGTTGATGACCTTGACAGCTTGGAGGAGCCCTGGTCAGGTATTTTTGTAGGATGCCCCACTATGAGTAATGGAATTTGTCTGACGTCTTCTCCCAATAAGACTGGGTTACGGGTTACTGGGCAGAAGACCACAGAGGTAAAGTGCCATTCTAATTGTATCATATCAGGGCCATATACTATCAACATGATCTATGACTGATGTTGACCTTGGCCAACTGAGGTAGTGTTTGCCAGGTTTCCCAGCTGTAAAGTTTCTCTCTCATCCCCCCCCCCATTTCCTCCATAGTGACTTTTTGTAAGAAAGTCACTGTGTGCAGCCTCTGTCTAAAAAGTGGGGTTATGTCCCCATTTGTGAACAGTCTTATTGAGATTCCCATATACAATTTACCCTTTTAAATGAATAATTCAGTGGTTTCAGTGCACTCACAACGTTGTGCAACTATCACCACCATCTAGTTCCAGAACATTTCTTCACTCCAAAAGGAAACCCCGTACCCATGAAGCAGCTACTCCCCCTTTCTCTCTCCATGCAGTTCCTGTCAATTACTAGTCCACCTTCTGTCTCTATGGCTTTGCCTCTTCCGGACATTTCATAGAAATGGAATCGTACAATATGTGATCTTTTGTGTCTGGCTTCTTTCACGTAGCATAATGTTCACAAGATTTATCCATGTTGTAGCAAGTATCAGAACATCGTTCTTTTAATTACCAAATAATATTCCATTGTACAGGTACATTATATTTATTTAGGCATTCATCAGTTGATGGGCATTTGAGCTGTTTCCACTTTTTTGGCTATTATGAATAATGTTATTATGAACATTCATGTACAAGTATTTGTATGAACATATATTTTCAATTCTCTTAAGTATATACCTATGGATATCTTATTATTGAATTGTAAGAGTTCTATGTATATTTTGGAGACAAGCCCCTTATCACATAAATGACTTGCACATATTTTCTTCCATTCTTGGGTTTTCTTCACCTTCTTGCTGGTGTCCTTTGGAGTACAAAAGTTTTTAATTTTGAT